AAGGAGGCGGATGAGGAGGAGGATGAGGAAGAGGAGGAGGAGGAGCAGTGTAAACCCAGGAGTCGTCAACGATGTGGAAATCAACCCTCACTCCAAGCTCCTTCTTCATAGGCCCCCACACCGGTTCAGTTCCACTGAGGGAACTGCCTCGTTCGAAGACAGCCGTTTGAAGAGCCTGAAGCGGGTCACAACATTATTCTCGGGACTCCAACGCCACGAGTCAACCTGACTGTTGCGTCTTGGCGATCCTGAATCGTGCCAGATCGGAGGAGGCTGAGGAAGAGGAGGGGGAGGAGGAGCAGGAGGAGGAGAAGGAGGCGGATGAGGAGGAGGATGAGGAAGAGGAGGAGGAGGAGCAGTGTAAACCCAGGAGTCGTCAACGATGTGGAAATCAACCCTCACTCCAAGCTCCTTCTTCATAGGCCCCCACACCGGTTCAGTTCCACTGAGGGAACTGCCTCGTTCGAAGACAGCCGTTTGAAGAGCCTGAAGCGGGTCACAACATTATTCTCGGGACTCCAACGCCACGGATCAACCTGACTTTTGCGTCTTGACGATCCTGAACCGTGCCAGAACGCCATCCCTGGGACTTCAACACCGCGAATCAAAGTAATTGTTGCACCCTCTTGATCCTGAGACGTTCCGAAGCACTTGTTCTGGTACGTTGGTCGTGGGAATCCGTGAAACTCTTGCGAGTTTGCAGCAGGACTGTGCGCGGCGCTGGGGCGAGAACCACATTTTGAAAACCACCCGCCCTCGATCCGTGAAGTTCGTGCAAATTTTGAGGAAGGAATGTGCGCGTCGCTAAGGCGAGAACCACATTTTGAAAACCACCCGCCATCAATCCGTGAATCTCCTGCAATTTTTTAAACGAATGTGCACGGCGCTGAGGCGAGGGCCACACTTTGAAAACCACCCACCCTCGATCCGTGAAGCTCGTGCAAACTTTGAGAAAGGAATGTGCGCGTCGCTAAGGCGAGACCCACATTTTGAAAACGACCCGCCCTCAACCCGTGAAGCTCTTACAACTTGTTACGCTTCAGGGCCATAAATGATAAGGAAGTCTCAGGCGAAACGCCTGGCCCGCCCTTTCGGCCGGCCTCGGGGTGCGACAGGGAGAAGTTATTCATGAGGAAAAGGAATTAAGGACGAGGATGAGGATGAGGACAAGGAGGAGGTGGAGGAGGAGGAGGAGGCGGAGGAGGGGAAAGAACAACGGTGGACTGCTACTGTGGCAGGTTCGCCAGCCCTCAGGGGGCCAGCTTCGATCGGCAATTTCAATGTTCCAAACCTCACCTTTGAACCCCGTCCGCCCTTACCCAACATATTCCGTTTCGACTACTTCTTGGCCCCTCCCTCTGGTGACGCCGTCATCCACCATTCAGGTGACGGTAGCACCACCACGACTTCGCCAGCCGCCAACCCAGCTTGGCATCGACCAGGAAGAAACGACGAGCAACAACACGCGTAGTACTACGAGTCGCATCGGTATTGGCGCTACTCGACCAGCATCCGCAGCACTAGATCCACACCGCCCAAGAACTACTTGAAGCATATCACAGTGCACAACAGCCGCCGCGACATCCACCACAAGTTTTTGAATTGGCGGCACCATGGGGATCAATGGCGAGCAGGCATAGAGCACGTCGCCTCCATGGGAACCAGCATCGAGCCGCGCGCCAAGCATAGAGGGCTACTAGCGCGCCCAGCTGAACTCGCGATCAGCGCAGGCTTCGAACGGTTCAGGCAGGACAACTGAGCCGCGCAATGGGCAGCCTAACGCCCAGCGCGGCCTACTGGAACAAGCGCGCCGGCAAGAACGCCAAGGGCACTCGCGGCAAAGGCAGGAGCAGCTGCCCCAAGCCGTGCGGCGAAAGACCAACCGCGGAAGGGCAAACACAAGGATAATCAGGTCAAGGGCGAACATCCACCCGCGCAAGGTGAGGAAACTGCAGCCAAGAAGAAACAACATGAGTCCAACCAGGACTACAACGACCACCTCGACAGCATTATCAGCAACCTCGTGCCCATGCGCAAAATCTACGCCGCCAGAAGGCGCGGTTGGCAGGCATCGCACAACGGCCCAACATTCAAAGAAGAGTGGGGGACAGTGGCATAGGCGAGCAGCAGCCGCGATCATGAGGGCCAGCGCCGCTGGCCTACCC